GTAGAGAAACAGCCTTCCTGTGTGTATATCATCTATCATAACTGAACAGACTTGTCTTTAGCTGTGCCGTGCACTTCCTGGTGTGTGTGCTCTTGCATCTATATGTTGTGTAATTACCTGCAGATGAGACATGCTTTTACCTGGAAAACTGCTTTGTAACTGTAAAAAAATATACGCTCTGATATATTCATATACTCTGATATATGTAAGTATGTGCGTGTGTATGAGCTTGCATATAACACAGGCACACACAACACTGGCACTGTCATTGAAACAGTAGTTTGAAAGCTGTGTTCCTTCCTCAATGAAACCAGGTTCATTCAGTTTAACAGGTTTCCTGAAACCAACAAATTTGAGAGGCCTCCTATCAAAGCAGGCTTTAGAACAGGTTCTAAATGTGTGCATAGGAGCTGTCTGTACAAACAAGAAAATTGGCATTTATCAAAGTTGCACACACACAGTTGCACAGTGAACAATGATAAATCTGACCTGCTTGTGCATTTACATACAGACATGCCCCCAAAATGCTAAATATGGACACCCACAGCCCTCTAAAAGTCATCTGTAATGTGCAGAGCTTTTGTAGACAAAAGTTGCAAATGATTGCATTAAAAAACGTCCTGTAGCGTCTTCAGAGCAAACGTGGGAAAGTTTCCCATCATGCACCAGACTGATGACATAGGCTAAGCCTCATTTTTCCTGTAGTGTAGCAGTGGGGACAGCATGAAATGAAATTGCGCCTGTTGTCAGCATATTAAAATGCAGAAGAATCTGAACCCTGGTGAAAGGGAACAAGTGACCGACTCAGAAAAACACACAGACATAGAAAAACAAACAAACAAAAAACAGCTTTGAGAGAAAAATATCTTTTTGCACTGTGCCATGGACACAATCTGTCAGAGAGAAGAGTGCATGATTGATCACTGGCCATTTATTTACACTCAGTTCATCCCACCAAGATAGAACGGAGGAGCCACACAAAAATAATTGGAGAAAGTTTAACCTGAAATGCCAGGCAGGAAAAAAAAACTACAAATGATAGCCTCAGCCCAGCCATCATACAAGCCTTGCATAAATACAATCTGGTTAAGTAATTCTAGCCTTTGTATTTAATTAACATCATGAGTTGGGTCTTGGGACAAATTTGATTTAGGGATAATTGCACTTAACCAGTCAGTTCCATTACTAAGCTTTTGTGGGTGTGTGGTGGGTTTGCCAGGTTGGACCCCTGCAGGACAAACACTGTCCTGAAAGACTGCAGGCTTCACCAACATCTGTCTGAGGTATGGAGTAGAACCCCAGGGGAACACCTTAGTTTCTGATACAGCGTCAATATATTGTAGTGGTTGTCAGAGTGACAGAGGGGCAGTGGGGCAATGGAGAGACAGAAGGTGAGTGTTTGGATGAAGGGTTGGGTGAGGGTGGATGTGGGAAGGGCAGGTGAACAAAGAAAAGTAAGAGAGGGGAACTTGGGGGAGCACTCAAGGGTTCAAAATTGCCAGAGTGAGAAGAAGGTGAATGGATGAGAGTGAAAAGACAAAGGAGGGGTGGGATGGAGATCCAGTAAAGAAGAAGGAACTGTCAGGGCAAATGAAGGAGCAGTTCAACCTGACCTTTTTGGTGGCAAGTCTTTGGAGGAGCGGCTTATGTTGATCGATATTTTAGTGATATAGGCTTACTTTGCTCAAAGAACATTTTTCCTTGAGAGTTTGCTGTCTGACTTAATGCTCCCTGCCACTGTTTACTTGGTGATTTTTCTGGGACAATGGGATAAAAGGCATCTAATTCCTTTCACCTTCCCTCTAAATGGCCATAGGTCAAAGTGAACACGGCTTCTTGATATGGAGGATAGAGATGATAAATAGCTTCACCCCACACCTCCCTTTTTTCATGATATGCAGACTGTGAACTTGCTGGTTGTCTTTGTGGTTGGTATTTCTAAGCTCACCTTTTGAAAATGTCATAAAGAAGGTGAGATGCACAGTCCCTATTTATGGACTTCTGTCAATATTACAGCTTGGCACAGAAAGGTTATGCAGGAATTTTGTTTATTCAGTCACATTTGATAAATCTATTGGTTAATTTTCGTTGATTTATCAATTTTCTTGACGTCAAAATTTTGCCCCTGCTGCATGAATAAAGTGAGGATGGTCTCGAGATTTTGATACGCATTATATGGAAACATACTTCTTTAAGGATACATTACTTTTAGCTGAGGTAATAATCAAGAATTGCTCTGTTTGCACAAGACATTGTTACCTGTTTGTACTAAGCAGAAACCAATGTGGAAGCGTTAAAACTTGTAGTTCCTTGAATTGCTACTTGAGACTGGCACCAAAAGAGAGTCGCTTCCCATAGTCTCCCATGTTAAAATGCCTATCTTTACAACAGAAATAAATGTTGACAGCCTGGTACAAGAAACAGTTTTGGTTTCCATAGCTAATTTCCAGAGGAACCAGAGGAACAAGGGAAGGAAGAGCAGGAACCCTAATGGAAGGACAAACCTCTACATAGTATGTACCACTGTCAAATAGTAGAAGTGGCTGATTTCAAATAATCCTACCAGTGGTTAGACAAAGCTGGACTGAAAGACAGCACAGAGGCACTAATCCTGGCAGCACAGAAACAGGCTCTAAGTACAAGATCAATAGAGGCCAGGGTCTACCATACCAGACAGGACCCCAGGTGCAGGCTGTGCAAAGATGCCCCTGAGACAATCTAGCACATAACAGCAGGGTGCAAGATGCTAGCAGGCAGGGCATACATAGAACGCCATAACCAAGTGGCTGGCATAGTGTACAGAAACATCTGTGTCAAGTACAGGCGGGAAGTCCCAAAGTCTAAATGGGATGCACCTCCAAAGGTGGTTGAGAATGACCAAGCTAAGATCCTGTGGGACTTCAAGATACAAACTGGTAATAGCCAACCGACCGGACATAGTAGTGGTGGACAAACAGAAGAACGCCGTAGTGATATATGTAGCAATCCCAAGTGATAGCAACATCAGAAAGAAGGAACACGAGAAGCTCGAGAAATACCAATGGCTGAAAGAAGAGCTAGAAAAGATGTGGAAGGTGAAGGCACAAGTGGTCCACATGGTAAACTGGGAGAGTGGCTCCAACAGATCCCAGGAATAACATCTGAGATCTCTGTCCAGAAGAGTGACAGCAGGAAAGCTTGATCTTTATTTTGAGGCTGACTGACAGTAAAGTGGTCTCCGGGCAGTGATTGCTTATGAAGATAATAATAATTTTACAGATAAGGTCATTCTTTGTAGTTATTGATTGAACCGGCTGCAAGGCAAAGAAAGATGAGCTATGCTGTGTCACTGAGCAATCCTGACTCTTGCTGAAAGCTCCTCGGCTGTACTAAATGAGTGCTGAAGGTGAGACAGAGAACAGGGGTCATAGAAACAACAGCCGTACTGCTTCAGAGGCCTGTTTCCTGTTTAATGGACTATCTTCTCAAATGGGTTTATTAAAATTGTGTTTTGCTAGATCTCCACCCTGTTGTTTGTGTTCACGAGTGTCTAAATCCAACAGTACACTGCCACAAACATATTACAACTGTGCAGAGGAAGGCTTAAACAGTGACTTTTGAACTTGTGTTTTTATGGAGAGATTTCATCTCTTCTATCTGTTAAATGGGCAGGAGGTCTGCCGCGCTTAACGCCAAAAGCTTTGTTAATTAAAAAGGGGGTATGCAGCGCTCCAACTGTGATATTCCTTATATTCACACACATCAACTGTATGCACAAACACATACACAGTAGCTGTTGCTCTGTGAATGTGGCAGGTTGTGGTCTCGATCCTTATTTGTCTATTTTTGCCCTTTGCCATCTCTCTTTTGCTTTTTCATTTCTCTTTCTGTCTGTTGCTTTGCCCTTGTCTTTTCACTATGTTTTTTATTTATCTGTGTCAGATGTTTGATTTTTTTGACCCTACTACTGGGAATGCCAAAGGCTAAAATTTTATAAAATCTTCATATAATGGTTTTAAAACATCTGAAAAACAGATAGTGCCAGTGTTGTCAATGAGCCAGACAGATCCATGGTACCAGATTCAGACTCTCTTCAGTGTTTTTTCTTGATTTTTGTTATTTTTTATGTTCAGCTGTACTGAATGTACTGTAATAATGAGGACATTAAAACTATGAAACAACACCTATGGAATTACATGAATGTCATCTTCGGCTTTTTCCCCATTAGGGGTCGCCACAGCAAATCGTCACACTGACGATTTGCATGTTGACATTTGGCACATGTTTACGTTATGATAAATCTGGTTCTCATGGGGACTGTTCCAGGAATGGAAGACCAAGAGTTACCTCTGATCCAGAAGATATATTCATCAGGGTTACCAGCCTCACAAATCTGCAATTAATGGCACCTCAGATTAGAACCCAAATTCCCAGAGTTCAAGTCACAGACATATCTCAACAGCTACTGTTTGAAGGAGACTGTGTGAATCAGGCCTTTATGGTCAAGTTGCTGCACAGAAACCTCCACTGAGGGAGATCAATAAGAAAAGGACAATTGCTTGGGCCAAGAAACAAGGGATGGACATTAGACCAGTGGAAATACTGTATGTACTTTGCTCAGATGAATCCAAATTTGAGATTTTTGATTCAAAATGTTATGTTTGTGTGTGATGCAGAGAAGGTGAACGCAACATGGCCTTCTGGGTCTAACAGGTCCGCTCTCATCCTGGGTTGTACCTGCACAGGGAGTCTCCATGGTCTGTCTTTGAAATGAGCCATAATGGTTTGAAAAACACATCTTATAACCTGTGACCCTCTGATGGTTCAGATTTTAACAACAGTTGTCACAGAGGCAAAGACATAAACAAAAGACCTGAAGATGGCAGAGTGGGTGGGTACAGCAGGGAGAAAACACTTCTAGGCTATTTTTACCTTGATTTATCCAAATTAGTGCTAAATCTTAGTTAATGCAGCTTTAAATCACCTTATTTCTCCCTTTCTTCAATCTGCTTCTCCTCCAGGGTGCCCAGCCGTCCAACCAGCCTGCTGCCTGCTGATTGGAACTTGGGGTTGGGTTTGGGGAAGGAAGAAGAGTCCTTACCCCCAGCACTGGAGACGCTTCCATTCAGACTGATGCAGCAGGACTGCACTGCTGTCAAGACCTTGCTTTTAAGACTGAGACGGACACTGCAGGAGGTGGGTTACACCCATACACACACAGATCGAAGCGTTCAGGCTCCTCTTAACATGGATATATATTCAAATGAAAGATGAAGATTACATCAGCGAACGCTATTTTATTATGTCCGTGCAGATTCTCAGTCATCCAGGTCATAGTAAAGTCAAATGCATCAGGCATCACGTAATAAAATAGTAAGTTGAAAAAACGTAGAAAAAAAATCAACTGTACTTGGTTTTAGGTCGAAGACGTTTCACCTCTCATCCATCAGAACTGATGAAGCCTTTTGGATGAGAGGTGAAACGTCTTTGACCTAAAACCAAATCCACTTGATTTTTTTTTTTCTACGTTTTTTCAGCTTACTATTTTATTATGTGATGCCTGATGCATTTGACTGTCACAACCCACAAGAACAAAACAGGAAGAAGCTGTCATCGTCATTTCTCTTACATCACAATGACAGACCCTTTTCTCATTAAGTTATTAATGTATCAGATTGTTTTAAATCAGTAAGGAAGGTAAGGAGCTAGTAAATAATAAGATACAATTTCATCTGGAACCCAAACACTACAGTGCTCCATTGACAAATGTTTCACTCCCAGTTTTTCTCTGCTCTACTTCAACTTCGTGAAATCATCTTAAAGAAGATGCTTCTCTGCTTTTAAAGGTGTTCACCTTATTTTGATAAGTGAATCATATTCTACATTTGGAGGAGGAAGCTGTATATGCACACATACACACATTAATGCTTCTATGTCAGACCATCACTCGGCTCTTTAAACACTTTATCCTGCTTAAAGCTAAAGTTTTACTTCAGGCTATGTGTCCATCTCAGTGTGAATGTCAGGAAACCAGTAAAATTACATCCATGCAATTGTAGACGGGGTCAGCTGTAATAGTCTTTTAGTAAAGCACTGACACATTGCAATAGTTGCACAAGTTCTAACTGTAAAAACCAGGGAACCATATTTATGGCCACCCTGTGCAGTTGTTTTTTTCTATGTGAGGCTGCTTTACACCAGGATGTAAATTGAACATAATATTTTAGCAACTGTGCTTGTAGAACATTAACATTTTTCATTTATTGAGAATTTTTTAAAGAAAATAAAATAGTTAATGTGATTTTCATGCTTTATTTGAGTTAATTGCAATTTCCAGTGAGCTTGGGTTGGGAAAGATATTCTTAGTCATAATGATAAAATACTCAATCAACCACTGAATATAAATTACAGTCAGTACCAGGCCAGAATGAAAATTACACTCTTTTGGAAAATGGATGAGGTCTAAACAGTTGTATAAGTTCCTCGGAGTCCTATATGCACAGCATCAACAGAGCTACATTATTGTAGTTATTTGGATGTTGGCGTTTGGTGGTGATTAATGTGTTGTGTGTGTTTTGTTTTGGAATAAAAATGCTTCTATTTTCACTAATACCCTTTGTCACCATGTCTTGAAAGCGTATTACACATTTACATACCAAAGAGGGATGCTAGTAATACCATAAGCTTTGGAAGTTGAGGTGAAAGAACATCCATTAGCAATGTCTGACTGCTGCTTTCTTGTAATCTACATGGGTGACTGACCCTTACCGAATACAACAATATTACACACACCCACACTAACAAAGACAAATGCACAAGATATAAAAGGGTGACCAGACCTTCCCTAACACCCCACCATTAGTACCTCTAAACCAAGATCAAAGCTAGCTGTGAAGCCCTATTTGAATTACAGTCCACAGAGGCATATGTATGGCTTTCTCCCTTTCTCTTTACTGTTCACCTCTCTGTTTATCTCCCAGGATTACTGTAAAAGAGACATGAGACATGATAAAATAATAATCAGTGGAGACAGACAATCTGCAACAGAGAGAGAGAGGGAACACGGCAGCAGAACATGAATATGAAAGATGAGATACTTTGCCCTGCTTGCTTGCTCTGTTGTATCATTAACTTGCAAATTTGGTTACCTTCCATCATGGATGTAATCCATTCTGTAGCTTGGGGAGGGTGACTCAACATGTCTGTGTGCTTTGCATTTTATTTACTTGACCTTCTGTTACCAAGCTCCAGTCTTCTGTGTGTTTTTTAGTCTTAACTTATAGCCCTTAACTCTTTTCTTTTCTTTACATCTCTTCTTCTCTCCTCTCTACCCTCTCCAGTACATGCCAGTTTCATTTTTTGCTGCCAAAGGTGATGACAAAAAGTCTTTGACTCAAATCACAGAAGAATGTTCATCATAACACAAGCATGCATGACCAACAAGCCGGATAATACGCCACATCTAATAATTTCCTGTGTTTATTGTGCATCATATTTGTCAAAGTAGCATATTTCAGCCAACTGTGGAGACTCCGGCTACTCTGATTTATTTCTCTTTCAGCAGTTTATCCTGTTGGTTGCACGGAGTAGAATTTCTAAAATGCCACTGTTCATGTGTGCATTAATGTTGCCTAACACAATGATCTCCATTTGTCAATGTCAGCCATGGATTCTAGCAAAACCATGACAGTCCCATTTGTTACGGAATCTACTCACAGTTATTGTGGGCACGTTTGTGCAATATTCACACATGCACCCCTAGACCCTGTTAACTTGTGCCTCTACAGCTCCTCGATCTGTCCCAGTGACTCTTATCCCTGAGGCAGCTGCTTGACTTGTGGCAGCAAGTGTTGCTATTGCTACAAAATCTTTTCAGCATCATAATTTTGTTACAAAGACAGCACTTCTGATTAAATGTATTTAAAAATGCTGTTGTTCATTACATTTGAGATTGCTAACACCAGCATTTGAAACAAAGCAAAGTTGTGTTATACAGGAGCCAGATGATAAGCTACCCATCAACATCTTTAAAAGTTTAAATGACCTACAGCTAAATTGTGGAACATTCTTCTATGGTTTTAGTTTAACACAAGAACACCTGAAGCCTAGGGAAAAAAGAATAAACTCAAGCAGAGTTGGCATTTTGAATTCCAGGCCCTTTCCCTGTGTCTGCCAGAGAACCCACTAAATTGCATGACAGTATGTTGTTAATGGTGTTGCCTTCCAATAAAAAGCCAAATGTCAATGAGAGAGAGTGGGCATGAATGCATGAATGAGTTACTCAAAGGTTTGAATTTCTTGATATAACTGATGTGAGAATGTGATTAAAGGGGCGTATCAAACTACAAAACCTGCTTTCGAAAGTCATTCATCATCTACAGACATTTAGCTTTTGGGTATTTCAAGTCATTAAATCAGAGCTTCCAGGCAGTTTTACCCATTCTTAAATCTGAAAGGCTTTTTACTGAACCACATCTAATTGTGGGGACAGTTGTGTGTTAAGGCCTGAGGGACAGGGGTGACCTTAAAGAGAATGTGTGGAGAGACACAGTGTGTGTGTGTGTGTGGGTGTGTGTGTGTGTGTGTGTG